GTTAAATTTTACTATGGATGAAATTGTTCTTTTTACAATTTATCTTCTTAGAGTAGGTACAATATTATCTTAGGGATATTGATGACACCGTGAAAGGTTAACAAAATGAAGCAATCACAGACAACCGAACCTGTGAAAGGTCTTAATCAAGCGTTTAAATAAGTGCAATGATAACGGGACGGAAACAGCAGCCGCGTGTCTCCGGATATCCGACGGGACGACGGTGCGACAGCCAAATTAACCTCTGCTAATTTTCTCATTCTAGTCAGCCCTCGGCGACCGCAGATAGAGTACGCGGATCGTCTAATTCTACCCGGCAGCAACGTGACAGCCCGAGCAGGTGAGATCGCTACGCTCACTTGCAGAGCGCGGTATGGGAATCCTTCGCCTCTAATTAAATGGTTCGTAATTGTTGCACCGTAGATTCTCTCCGTACTCTACTTAACTACTCCATCTCTACCACACCATCCGCCCACCCCCATTTCCTGTCGCGGTCTTTTTAATCCCCCTTTCCATAGCCGCAGCCTCGAAACCGCGCTATTGATTAGTCCTATCGATTTCGTTACGTATTCCTCGCTGAAGAATAGTAGGATATTCGTATTTGAGGACATTGTGTACATTGCAGATTTTACTCCTTAAGCTACTTGGATTGTACGAGTAAATAATGAATAATTTAACAATATTGAATGAACTTTACTTAGGTTTAAAACTTAATAATGCTTCGCTACCAAAAATTGTATGTTTCCTAATAGTAAATAGTAAATTCTGCAGCACAATTATTATATAATTGAAAAAAACTGTACGATTCGAGGCTGCGCTATCACGCGTTATTTTTCTTAAAATTTGTAAGTTAAAACGTAGCTCTCGCAAATGAAGCGAACACACGAGAATAGATCGTGGAAAGGTGAATCAAGAAATTGAAACGGGAGGCAACTCCGGGTACCTCCGGTAGGATCCGAGTAATAGCGTTGGTTTTCAAGGGAAAAGGTTTGAATGCTTTCAGATTACGCTACCCCGGTTCGCGCGCCCGGCTCGACTCGACTCTCAATCATCGCCGAGAAACGCTGCTCCCTTTTCGAGATTGATTCGATTAGCCCCTCCGCGCGCCCCGCCGCCTCCGACTCGATTTCGTCTTTCGCGGACTTTGGACAACTTAATTCCGGTCTTTCGCGCTGCGCCGCGCCGTCAACGAGGGTTTCATCTCTGCAGCGTTAATCTTTCGATTACCGCTGCAATCGCTCCAACTTACTCTCGAATCGAATCTATACATACATGCATGTATACGTACAGAGCGAGTCAGCAAGAAGTTTAAAATTATTTACTGGTCATTAATTCTATTATAAAGACTGATAGAAATACATTTTCATTTATTAAAATAAAAGGATATGTTCATTTCATAATCTCTCACAGTTAATCAAATAAAGAATCGTAATTGTTTTTAACTGTCACTAATATGAGGTTCAGATCAAATTACCATTTTGCTATCAAACTCTCTTTTATAAACGAAGGAAAGAAACCGGCCTGCGACACATAGTTTCATTCGTTCTGGAGGAAGCTCGGTTAATTTTCTCGTCGCGAACATCATCCCGAAGACCCACCTTATATAGATGATAAATCCTCGTCGATGCGACTGTGGCACGGCGGCTCGCTGCCCATGAATAATCATGATCCATTCCGAGCGAGTTATCCAGACGAAGTGAAGGAGCTTGCAGGGCTCTCCACTTGCACTCCCGGGAAGGCACAGAAGTAACAGAGGAAGCGAAACGAAACCAAACCGCGATAACCTGCGCGAGGAACGTTAATTAATTTATAGACCAATCACGGGTTGGCCTAGGATCGCGGAAAGTTTGAGCTAGAACTTCCCGCGAACGTGTTGGGGTATTTCGGTCCACGAATTCCAGACGAGCTCCGATTCCGACCTTCCTCTATCTCCGTCTCTCCCTCGCTTGGAATTAGCCTAATTGACACGACCACGAACGTACCTATATACCTATGACTCGATCGTTGTCAGCTTCTAGATTTACGACGTCGCGACGGGAGGCGGGGTGTCTTTTGATTCCCGGTGGATCGCGTTTACGGTTGCGCAAAGGGATTCCATAGGATTCCCGAGATCAACGGCGATGAAGTTGTGTCTTGTTTTGTGCAAAACTGAATAGACTGCGAATGTTTATTCATTTACGGTGCAAGTTATTACATAGGTCGTAGACGATCATTATACTTACATGATAGAAATACAAAGCGTTATTATCATTGTACAAAATACAAATTACAGAATTGAGATTTATGATAATTAAAGTGTTAATAATTGGTTTAGTTATTATTATCATATAATTAATACAAATTTATTTTTGTCTTTCTACGTGTTAACGTAAGATTAATAAAAGTCTAAAAATGTTTTTCTAGTATTTACTGTTCATGAAAGAAATATGAGAATTCATATAAACAATCGCAGTCTACTTACAATTCAGTTCTTCCTTTCTTTTATTCATCTTTCATTAATCATGATGAATTTTATGAATGAAATTTATTAATGACAATGGATTGTTGTCAATCAAAATAAATCGTCTCGGTACGCTTTGTTTGCGAGAAGAATGACTTTGGAAATGAATCACTAAAAGCTAAGCTCTATCGTGTTTGCATAAAGGCCGGTAATTTATAAGCAGAAGTACTATTTTCTCTACAAGGGAAGCATTAAAACGCTTTTATAAGAGGGAAGAAGAATGGTTGCGCCGAGTCGCGCCACGCAAAAAGGACAAAGTCGACTCGAACCGCCAAGAACGATGCACTCTTTGGCCAGAAGAATTGATCATGCTTGTTCTTTTTCCCTCTCCACGCAAAATTCACGAGCTTCTTTACACGTACAAACACAGAGATTTCTTTGGCTTTCTATCCAAGTGACCCTCCCCTTGACCAGAAGTTTCTATCTTACGCGCGACCGAAACGAATAACCGCCCCCACGAGTATACGTATATCGACGTACAGTTGCATAGTTATTTATTAGTGTAACACTATGCTATCAGCGCGATAAATAATCCAATTAAAATATATATACAACGAAAAATTATCTAATAAATTAATCAATGGAACTGTTCTGGTGTGCTTAACCCTCCAAGATGTTCCTTCTCGCTCGAAAAAAATAAAATGCAAATGTATATGTGCTGTATGGACTTTTAGAAAATTGTTACAGAAAGTTATAAATGCAACTATCATAATTCAATAGGATTTTTCCTAAATGATAAAAAGTCCCTTACGTTCTTTAACTAGAAAAAGTAAAATTTTTTGTTTTCACGATAATCTGAAACTTGTGAGACTGCATCTGAAATGAAGTAATCGAAATTGAGATAAGCTGCTAAAGTAAATATTTAGTCCAAGTTATTGAACAGCTCGAAAAATTCAGTATTCTACTCAAGTCGCAACTCCGAAACGGAATCACCGTCTCGATACTTGAGACCCTCGGAAATCTTGGCGTGATTACCGGCTGGAATCTTCGGTTTCGCAGCATGAGAGAGAGAGGAGGGTTGAGCGAAGAAGAGGGAGGGTCAGGTAACAGTAAGAGCAGACAACCAGCAGAAGTAAGAAGGTTGCGGATCGGGTGTCCGTGGGATTTCACCCCGCGCAAAGTTGTCACACAGCGAGAGTAATTGGAAATGCAAATTTTCGTTGGGTATAATGCGCACAGGTACGTCGGCGAAACCGAAGTGAGGACCCTGAGGCCCCAGGTAAACTCCACGGAGGCTGAAAATCCTCGAACTTGGTCGACGTACAGCGTCTGCGAGATCATGGCTGAGCGGTCGCATTATGGCCAACCGATAAGATGCGTAGCAATTCATCCTGCTTACGACAACCCCACCATGTCTTCCAGCACCGAAGTCAGATTCGACGTCAGATGTGAGTACTTTCACCTTTTCTCTCTTTATTAACGTAGATGTAAAAATAATTGATTATTAGACTACCGATTCTTATACAAAATAAAACTTTTATGGTTTCAATTAAAAATGATTATGGTTTTATTTCGTTTCAACAAATATTTTGTCTCATTGTCTCATCAAATTATTAACGGCTTTCGGAACGTTGCCTGGCAAGCGATATTGAAAACAAATATTATTTCTTGGGGTCCAGTGTTTTAATACCAAAGTGATCTTACTTGCGTGTCTGCGAGCAGCAGGAGGATTAAGATCGAGGAAAATTAATTCTCTGGAACTAGTTTAACAAACGATATCGAGTTACACCGATACCATAGCCAAAGGATTTTAGCATAAATGGGATTTAGGTTCACCGAATAAAGCGGTTCCTTTATTATAAAGTCCGGCATGGCTGCTCTACTCTCTCATTACTTAATACGGATTAGCGGTGGGATTAATATTTAAGAATAATCACGGTTATCCCTCAATTCTCAAGGAGTAAAGATCTCATCGTCTCACGGTTCCCGCAGCTCTAGAACTTTACTTCTCGCCCTCAAACTTTTTTAACGTGATTCCTGTATCCAGAAATAATTTCTTGCATATATACAATGTATTTATAATTAGACAGTCATTTGCTATCAGAGATTCTCGAAACTCATGTTATTATAAAGTATTGTGCTGAACATCATTATTATTTCAAAGAAAAAAAAATCTAATTTTATTTATAAAGGATCATTTGTTCAAAAAAATGTTATAAATAGAATACGGAAAAAATAAGAGCTAAAAGATTCGACTTTATCAGACTGATCTGTTCAGTTTTTTCGATAACAGATATAAACGAATTACGCGTGATACTCGCATCGTGAGATATACAATCCTAATAGAGAAACGAAGACGAATGATATTGTCATCGCGAGAAACGGGAGTTATTTACAGCCGAGCATTTGGTTACGACGTTCGGGAAGCGCGCGAAAGAACATTGAGTAACGAATAAATCGGTGTTAACGACAGGGGCAGACAGGAAGGGACCGCCCGTGCAACGCGCTGACCTAAACCCCTTCGTACCGAAGCAACAGCAACGGCAACGCGCGCTCCCACCGTGGGTAGCAATTTAACTCCGGCAACACACACGCCGGTAACCACTGAACCCTCATCAATCTCCCTCAAAACCCCTGCCGCGGCGTCCTGACGTCCTGCTTTTCAACCTTATCGACAATTCGCTGCATCGTCCAACAGTTTTGAATCGGTTTTTTACGAAACAACAATGACTGATGGTCGACGAATCGATATGACCGGTCGAATCTACTCCTCCCGCCCCTTTCCTCATCTCTTGTGTTTTCATCCCTTCGGAAAAATATCATCCCTCGCTCAGATACGACAGTCGAATGAATGGTATCAAGCAGGTATTAACAATTGACGTATCTCTTTTGCATTAACATACATGTATATTGAACGGCGACTGAGATAAGTCAGTCTCCTGTCATAGTATAAAATTCTGATTCAAATTTTATATTATGAAATTGAATATAAAATACATATGTATGTGAATAGTGTATGAGTTGTAACATAGTATAACGAAGATTATGATTATAATATAATTGATACAATACCTAGAAAATAAGAATATCTTTAACCAAAGAAATTTCTTCATTCTTCTTCATATGTTTCACCCTCCCCTGCCCCCGCGTCCTTATTCAAACTATGATTTGACTATCCCCATATACTACCATAATCGAATTGCAAATCTATTATCGGTCTGGCCGAAATTTTTTCTCTAATTTTCTATTAACCATGATTCGCAACCCCTCAGGCATCAGCGGTTCAACGGGAAATAATCTGTTTGAGATGAAACCGAACCTCGAGCCCTTCGGAATATCCATGAACGTGGTACATCTTACGGCTTGCAAGTATTAAGGAGAAGCGAGAGCAGTTCGTCACGTACACTGATTAAGAGTATTACCAAACTGGGACTTTCCAACGTAAAATTGAAAAGTTCCTCTCAAATTACCGATTAAATATT